GCAGTGGGGCTGAGGTAGCATCTGAGCACTACCAAGCCATACCGAGTTGGCCACGCCCCAAATAAAGCCTACCTTGATTGTATCAAGGCTGTGACTCAATTAAGGAGGTGCGACTGACATAACTTAATTCCTCCCACAACTGCTTGGCTGCTTCACAGAAGAGCCCATCATGGACTTGACCACACTGTGCTTGATGATACCCTGGGAGAATCCACGAATCACCCACGTTGACATGGAGCCATCACAATGAACACAGCACTGGACATTAAACAAAGACCTGAAAAGAGTCAACACCTTCGAACTGTGGTGCTGGAGAAGACTATTGAAAGTACCAGACACTGCGGAAAGGACAAACGAGTTTGTCCTGGAAGAAGTCCAGCCAGAGGGCTCCTGAGAGCCGAGGATGGTAAGCCTTCCTCTCACGGACGTGGTGTCCGGAGAGACTGGTCCCTGGAGAAGGACAGCATGCTTAGTAAAGTGGAGGGACAGTGAAAAAGAGGAAGCCCCTCAATGAGATGGATGGACACGGAGGCTGCAACTATGGGTTCAAGCACAGGGACTAGTGTGAGGATGGAGCAGGACCCAGCAGTTGTGCACAGGACAGCCGACATGGGTTGGCACTGACTCTATACAGCAACATCACAGAATCCATCAGTACTGCTCTCACTCCTGCCATCTATCAGTTTGTCCTCAGATTTTTTTTTTTTATTAATCATTTTATTGGGGGGGATCTTACAAATCTTATGACCATCTATCACTCAATCCTATTACACACATTTGTCCAGATGTTGCCATCAACATTTCCAAAACATTTTCTTTCTACGTGAGCCCTTGGTATCAGCTCCTCTTTCCCCCCTCCTACCCCACCTCCCAACCCTCACACTCTCGGGAATCCTTGATCAATTTATATATTATTGTTGTTATTTTGTGTCTTACACTGTCCGTTGTCTCCCTGAATTTTTCTTTAAAAACGAATGTGTTATTTCTTGTTTTGTACCCAAGAACATCTTTTCTTATCCCTCTGAGAATTCCGATCACAGTTTCTTTGATGTTTTCTTCTCCACACAGAGTCCATGTTTCCTCTAAGTTTTTACAGGTTTGTTTATTTTTCACTTGAAAGGTTGGATCCTGTCAGAACATTTTCTTGAGCTGTCTGATCATCTGCCACCAACCTAGTTGGAAGCTGGTAGTGGATGCGTGGGGCCTGGCTCTAAGGAACCCTCAGAGGTGCGATTAGAAATCTCGAATGTCACAATCCCTTTCCCTTGGTCAGACATGTTGCCAGTGACTCCCTTTTGATGTCCTGCCTGGAGGGCAAAGGCGTGGAGGTCACCCTTTTCTGAGCACAGTGAAGAGGGGGTGATGTTACCTCGGCACCAGGTACGTTGATGTTTAGTTAGCCTTCCTACTTTCAGTCCAGCATCCCTACCCAGCTATGGTCCTGAGATGGTTTCATATCAACTTGAAGATGCATGAAACTGTGGGCGTGGAACCCAACCTGTCACTCAGGTCACAGACTGATGGAGCTTCCTTGGGGCTGTGGTCTTCTCATCAGGGAGGCCCTGGGAACCTCCCTCTCCCTCTTCCCCTTCCCCTTCCTGCCTGCTGGGATTGGGTCGCTGCCCCTGAGAGTTGCCAGAGCCCTGACGTGTTTCCATTTACCTCGGATCGACAGGACTCTGCACACACCAGCGGTGATCTTCCCGCATGTCACAGTGCTGCACATGGCTGCGGGAATTTGAAGAGGGACCTATGGACTAGTGTCAGACGTATGGACTGGAGTTGAACTGGGATAGAACACTTTCTTTATTATTATTATTATGAAAAGATCATTTTATTGGCGGCTCTGACAACCCTTATTACAATCCATACAGCAATTGTATCAGACATATTTGTACATATATTACCATCGTTCTTCTCTAGACAGTTACTTTCCATTGAGTCCTTGGGATCAGCTCCTCTCCCCCAACCGCCCCCGCCCCCAGCCCCCCAAGGAACACTTTCTTGAGATGTGATTACTTCCTGACATCCAGGTCTGTCTTAGACATGGATGAACGTCACTGGATTTGTCTCTCTAGTCAACCCGGTCTCACACACCAAGCATGCTGACTGCATCCCATCTCTGACACTTTGTTTTGCCTTCTTTAGAGATCAGTGGTCTACAACCTGAATGTGGACCGGGAGTTAATCTCTTTTGTTCTGTAGAGGAATAAAGAAATATGGGGCTCCGGCTCCATCCTCCCAGCTTTAGCCTCTTCACCCCTACTTCCAAAGATGCCAAGTGCTGGCAATTCCTGGACATTCTTGGTTTATGATGGAGTCCTGGTGGCATGGTGGTGAAGGGCTGATAAGTGGTTCGAACCCACCACTGCACCACGTGAGAAGTATGAGACAGTCTGTAAAGACTGACTGCCTTGGACCCTGTGCGGCAGATCGACTGTCATATTGGTCTCTAGGGGTGGGGACGGACTCAGTGACAATAGGTCTTGCTTGTTTGTTTTGGTTGCTACTGGTGCTTGGCCCTTTATGCCAAAACCTTTCTATTCGGTTTCTGATCTCCTCAGTCATTGGCCACCCCCTTCCAGACAGCCCAAGCATTTCACTAGAAGTTCCTCTCCATTGTCCCCACCCTTACAGAGGCATCATCTCTTTACCGGCATCTTAAATGAGCCCTGAGAAAGGAGCAAATGTAGATGTGTGTGTGGTGTTCACCTGTCCTCGTTACCTAGATGCTAAAGCCTCTATACTTCCCGTGTCTTCTGAGCTTGTCCAGAAGAAGACCAGATAGACACAGTGCCAGACCATGGAGAACTGATTCAGAGCCACTCTGAGTTAGTTAATTGTGCCAGCCTGGCCGATAATCACATGTGGGGCTAATTGAAAGGTGGAGGGATAAATGGGTGGTGAGCCTCACCTTTCTAGTTCTCGGGTCTCTTGCTTTGTGATGGTTGCACCAGGGTGCAGCTGCCTTAGCTGTTCCCTGCTTCAGCTTGCAAGATTGACTTCCTACAAGACATCCCCAAGGAGAAGCCACATGGACCTATCCCGATGCAGCCCTGGGTGCTGGAGCAGCCGTGTGGAGACCCCTGCTAGTGCTGAGATGCTTGTTCGTTCACTGACTCAGCTTTCCTCCTGCAGTCGGCGTCATTGCCTCTGTTTTGTGAGGTGGAGGACTTTGTGGACTGGTGTTGGGCATGGGTTAATGTTGGACTTGTGGGCTTGGGCAGTATTGGGTTGGGATGTTTTCATGATGCACACTTTCTTTACATAAAACTCTCTTATACATGAGTTGCTGTGGATTTGTTTCTCTAAGTACCTAGACTAATACACACTCCCACCAGCCATCTCCTCTGCGGTCAATGAGAAGGCTTGGTCAACGCCTCCATCATTTACTGAGCCCTCGATGGTGCCTCACCTCTGAAGACAGGCAGCCAGACTGACACGATTCCCCTCTGTGAGACAGGACGCTGTCCAGCACACGCTACGAGGAAAGAGGATTCTTGAGGAGGTGCTGGAGAGGACAGCAGAAGGCCCACCTCATATCCAGAGCCCAGCATCAACCTGGACACTTCCCAAGAAGGAGGGGGTCTCGCTTCAAAGTAGAGATAGAGGGGATGTGAACGCCTTCACCTTGAACTCCACAGAAGCCTGATACTCGGGACCTTTGTAGGAGGGACTGGCTACTCTAGCCCCCCAGGACACCGGAGTGAAGAAGCAAGTGTCAGCCACCAGCCACTGATGTCTATAATTTGTGGGGTGTCAATGGGGCCGGCGAAGGGCGTGCTCCACCTCAGACGCAGGAAATAGGTGTAAGCTATCTGTTGAAATCAAAAACACCAAGCCAAACACCACCATGGAGCCAAATATGACTCACACCAGCCCTGCAGGACAGGGTAGACGGCCTTCCCATGGCAGCAATCTCCCCACCCTCCATATAATTACGTTTTCTAATTGTGGCAAAAATGTACACCACGAAACAGTCCCCAGTGTAACAACTTCTGCATGTGGAATCCAGTGGGATTGGGTATAGCTTTTGTGTTGTTCAGCCACTAATGAGATCCTTTCCAAATTGTTCCACCACCGTCAACACACACTCAACGCCCCCTAAGTAATAACTCTTCTCCTTCACTCGTGGAAACCACTGGTTACGTTTGGCTTCTTCCTTTCTTTCTTTAAAAAGTAGTTTTCTTCATATAGCGTTCACATCTCCTACACGTCCATAGTTAAAAGAGTTGCATGCACATCATCACAATCCATTTCAATGCTCCCTCCGGCATTCATTGTTTGCTCCCCAAATCCTTTCACCCTCCCCTCCCCCGCCCCACGTCCTCGATCAACCATCGCCTCAGTTATCGACTCGAGGCATCTACTCCTTCTGTGCTTCACAAACTGGGAAACCCAACGGCAACAATACGAAACCACAACAAGACAGTAAGAAAGAAATAATAATCATATAAAGACAAAAATAAGGAGTAAGAAAGAAAAGGCCGCCATCCATATTTTAAAATCCAGAGAAGAAATTTTTGTTATGGAACAAGTGAGAAATAACTAAGAAATATATAAACCAAGTTCAGGTTGGGTTGAGAGGGAGGCCAACTGACCAAGCATATTATACCATGGCTTGAGCCACCATCATCCAGTTGACCATCCTCTCTGTCTGACAGTAAGGCTGTCCGAGTCCCTGCCTGTGGCCAGAGGGGGTCTGCATGGCAGCACCCTTCACAGAAGCAGAGTGACATGTCTCTCTCCAGGGGAGTGACTGATGGGCTCAAGAGACTGGCCCTTTGGTTAGCAGCCAAGCGCTTCACCACTGCCCCACTGGGGCTCAGTAAGCCTTCTGTAGGGAGTATAAAGGCAAGAATATGTTCCTGTGTGTTGTGTCATCCCCATGCACTTCCGCTTCTAAAGCATGTCAGTGATAAAATGCTTCTCCCCACGGTTGCAGAAGGTGCCAGGACCCCGCTGGCCCCGGGCACCCCCCCAGCAGACCCAGCCCTCACCTGTGGATGATGTGGTATCTCTGTAAGTACTCCAGAGCCAGGGCCAGCTCGCAGATGTAGAGCTTCACGGCTCCCTCAGTGAAATGAACGTTCTGCTGCAGGTGGTATCGCAGGTCTCCCCCGAGCAGCAGGTCCACCACCATGAACATGTCCTCCTCATCCTGGAACGAGTACCTGGGGGCACAGCGGGACAGAGGGACAGAGCATTAGGGACACAGGCACCTCTGACAGCTTCAAGACCAAGGCCTCTATTTTATGGGACAGAGAAAAGCGGTGATGTGGCTTAGGCCACCACGAGCTACTGATAGAGTATTTGTTCTGTTTTATATGAAAGTGCTTCGGGTATTTGGACTTGCAGTTGCTAGTACAGTGAACCCTCGCCACTTCGCGCTTCGACTTCCGCGGCTTCACTCTATCGCGGTTTTTGCGTAAC